ATTTTGCTTGAATTTTCATGAATGAGTTGCGGTTAACATCACATCCCGTCCGATACCGAAACACGGTTATGTAATGCATTTCACATATTGACCAGCAATGGTTAATTGTTAGTAGCCTTTTGGATACAAACACGTGGCAATTATTTAATAGTTAATGTTGCAACTGTCATTTATTTGATTTTCCACACGGGTCGAAAATACTTAAACATCCAAGCAGGGACATAAATCTTCAATATCTGTAATTTTTGTTTTGATATCTTTTGTATTCAAATCTCTCATTGCATTTGCAGTAAAATGGTAAGGCAAACAGATAGGTAAGTCAAATGCATTTTGATTAATATATCTAAATACATATTTATTTACAAACACGAATAGAATAGATTTATACTAAACTTAACTCTCTTTTTTATGCATATTTAATTTACATGGGCCTAACATCTAAACATTAATTTCATTTCTTAGACGTTTTTGATTTTGTTTTTGTAGCATGGTAAACGGTTAGGCCTTTTACTTAAGTGACACGGTACGAAATATGATAGGGAAAACCAGGTACATTGTATATACCCTAGATATATATATAAACGAGTGTAGAACAACATCGAGCACAAAAATGGACAATAAGGGTCACATGCCACTGTAATTTTTTTTTATATAAACCAACCACAACACTGTGTCAGGACCCTTACCAAGGGGAATATATTTCTTAAGATGAAAGTAAATAGGTTATAATTTGTGTACCGCACACATCGTCTGATTCAGTGGGAATCGCCCAATTTGAACATAATGGCTATTATAAGCAAATTTGAGTTGTTTTTCAGTATTTTGACACTTTTCACGCATTATAATATTAAATAGAAAACAGATCGAGGATTTTTATTTGTTTAAATTGCTATGGTTACATTTGTCCACAGTAATTAACTAGAAATAAGAGATGAAGTATGTTACCTTTTTGTAGAGACTGTTGCCTGTGGCTGTTGGAGGTGCATTCTAATGATATAAGTGTAATATCGATATAAAAGTGTAATATCGATATATTAGTGTAATATCGATATATTAGTGTAATATCGATATATAAGTGTAATATCGATATATTAATTTATCTTAGACCTAATTAATTCCTTAATGACAAAACGAAGTTTACATAATGGGGATTTTTTTTAAATGCATTTACCCCAAATTTCGAAACAGTTTTGTCTTCATTGGTGCATTCAGTTTCTTTGCGGAGGATATCAATGGCCTCTTCATAGTCTGCTTACCTCTTCTCCCTATTTATGCTCTCTCACCATTTACCCGCGAGCAGGAATAGCATCTGTAACATACAATTTCAGCATTTCCTTTAATCTTTTTATTCAATTCAAATTTAGTAACACATTCTGTAAGAAAAAAACCTTTATCCCATGTAATACCTTAAAAAGCCATCATGTAGTCAGTGTAGTGGAGATCATGTCATTTCCAGATTGATCGTCTCGCGTAGGGACTTTACTCCAATAACTCTTTACTTTGATTCTTATACGGCAGAATTGATTTCACTTTCCCACAGCACGTATATAAGATTTACAGATACAGCATGAGTATCATATATTCTCTCTAAGAACGTACAGCACCTCAAAAGGACGAAATTTACCGGCAGACGCCCAAACTTGACAGATTGCCCAGTACGCTCGTATCTGGTACAGCTACATTCATTAATTCTTATTGATTACACTTACAAAATGTGTGTACTGGGAGATTGTTAGCTGATAAAGAAAAGTCCCCTAGCTAATTTGATGACCAGTCTGGCAGCAGGCGAGCAAACGGATATCCTCAATGGCAGATGATGTACAACTCTCTCGATGTACCAAAGGATAACACACATTTTTGAACGAATTCCTGTAACAGAATCAATAACTTTTGTATTTTCTTTAAGAAGAGATTGGCACATCGATTGCATCATTGCTTGACAACGTGTAAGGGCAAGAAAGAACAACACCGAAAGAAAACTGGAAGCAACATAAATCAAAGCAAAAGTTCATTCTCGGGCTTTTCCGGAGAGATTTCTAGGCTTGTCGGAAAAACCCGAATATGTCCGATTGAAATAATAGCTGATATTTTCACAGAAAACTACAGTTTGCCCGATAATGCTTGGCTATCTAGAATTGACTTTCTATTTTAAGGCAACATTTTAATTTTATCTAGTAAGAGCATGAGGGGAAAAAATAAGAAAAGCATTAAATAACGAAACCTAGTAATACCAACACCAAAATTATGTCGAAGTTCATTAGGTATGTAGAACTAAACATGTTTCATACCTTATCGCAAATGTGCAGATTGTATTACCCGATTTGTGTCAAACAATGATGCATTTCCCTTCTATACGATCCAAATTACCGCAAATAACAGACAATGGAAAGGTTCTCAATAAGATTTAAGGAATCTCAACCGAATTTGAAAGCAAATCAGCCCAATCGACAAAGGCTTTCCAGGAAGGGAATATTTCTTCTGTCATAGCACATGCATAACGTAATAAAATTGCCAGTAATAAATTCACAGACCGTCGTGGGAAGGGGTTCATACTTAATGGTATGTAAATGTGTCGCAATTCCAAAGAAAACAGTACTGTAACCGCATTGATAGCTAAATGGTCCACTGTTGTAATATGACATGTCGTTCAACTGCTCAGCGTCACAGAGTCACAGTGTGATGGCATGCATTCGCAGAACTCTCTCAAAAGTACACAATCCCCTTCCTATCATATGGTAAACCATTGACTTACATTAAACGCAATGGAGGACTTTCTGCCGAGTGACTTCGAAACCCATTTCGAATGCTTGGAGTGGTTTGTAAGTACATCATTCTGGCCGTTTCATGAAATAGACGAGAGAAAATTATTCATCAACAGTGAGAGTAAAAGGGAAAAAGGTTGATGGGGAAATCCTCTTAAGTGAGAGCTAGGTCATTACTACGTGATAGCGGACATAAAGCAAAATGTATTAGCCCTCTTGGGGCAGTTGAAAAAGCAGATTGAGATATCGGAATTATTTGTGATGCCATCAGGCCATTAGATAAAAGTGTAAACCGTTGTATATATTCAACACTAATTGCTCCTATATGGATCATTGACATGTTAAACTCACTAAACAGAAGTGTAGTGGGTTTTATAAGTGCATACAATTTCTTAAAACATACAGTCAGGAGTGCAACCTAACACCTCTACAAGAGACCTTTCGCTGTACCCTTATGCAAAATACTAAATTGCTGCTTCAAGAACATTCCAGAAAACTGCAATTTTCAATCAGCTCAGTTGTTTGTTCCGTCCACAATATGGCATGTGTTTCATGCCTTCACTATCTTGGTTTCGTTCCATTACACCCTCAGCATGCTTGCCTCAAAGATCGATGAATTTTAATGTTTAGCAATACCCATCAGAAATCGAAAAGTTGCCGGTGTTCAATAACTTCACTCTTCGTGTGGAAAAATTATGTGAAGCAAGTGTGTTAGCAAGCGGGGATACTTCCTACCTAAACCGAATGGTTCACCTCAATCCTCCAAGTTATGCTTACCAACTCAGGTATTACTTTTTCCCAATATATGGCAAAATGTTATGGCTCTGCACATTTTCTAGAACATCAATAAAGCTGATGTTTTCATGAATATCATTCTTGGAACTATTTTTATACTTTTAATTGGACGCTGGATTATTTGTAGGTGGAAGACGAACACATGAACGGTTAAGAATCTACAGCTTTAGTGCTCACGTTTTTGCTTTGGGAACATTCGCGCTGTAATAAAACTGTCATCACCAAGTCCGCCATCTATAAAAGTCTTCCATAAACTTGGTGATAATGATATTCCTTTGTGAACCGTTTTGGTTTCGATATAAAAATTATATTCATACTGGGTAAATGTATAATGTTGTCACGGACAGTACATCTAGACATAATGAACTTCGTTCGTTATCGTGCCGTTATAATGTATTTCGAACCATACTTACTTTAGCTTTCTAAACATTTTCTTCTGGTTGGTAAGTATGGAATATGAAAAGATTCTTGTAACACAACCAATAAGTGTTTCTATGTGACGCTTCGATGACTAGTAATGTATGTACACTGTCTGATGAAAGTGACAGTATATACACCGCACTAGTCATCGACACGTCACATAGAAACAATTATTGATTGTGTTATAAGAATATTTTCATAATGCTTACTTTAGCGAACGCTAATTATCGAATTTTAAGAAATGAGAGCATTGATAAATTGTCACACCAACAGATGCAGTTTAAAACAATACACACGAGCTGCAATTGGCGCAGTAACAGTTTAGTGTACTATTCAAACCTGAAAAGCACTAACATAAGGCTAAGACTACATCGATATAATGCCACCGGTTGTCCAGATAAATATTGGCGTTATAAAGGCAATATATTGAGGGACATGTATAAAGCAGTTTATAAAGAAACAAGAAAAAGGGACATCGAAATAAGTGTGCGGAGAGCGAGATGGCAAATGAATCGAGTGGCATTTTATCGCGGTCTTACTTTATGTTTATTTCGCTATCAGAAACTGTTGATACATAGATATTTTCTTTTTGCAATTTGATAAAAAAAATCTCTAATACGTATTTAGATAATAGGAAAAACCTTCAGTTAACCATTGGTGATTTGGAATTTAAAGCAGTGTGTTCTTCTTAATTATGATTTTTTTAAATCGTTTATATTAAATCCTGCACTGGCCTAGATGTATCAGTGAGGGATGGGTTGGGGATACGGGCTGACTAAACTGATCCTGTAGTAGTTTAATTATGTTATATTTTTCTGGATGGCGTCATCCTGTTTACCAATATTTATTTCACTATCCATGGGTTCTCCTCGGCTGTCTTCATTACGACATGTTTACGGCCGACATCATCAATGGTGTCTTATTGTCCTATGTCAGCTTTGTCATTACCTCACAGATCGTAGTTGACCTAAATCAATCATGATAGTTGTCACAAATGTTGCAGGTTACAATTACCGTTCTTAATCACCTAGTTTCGTCGTCATTTGATTCAGGTTTCCATGTTGTTGTGCCTCCTTCGGTTTTTGCGTCTCCTAGGCTCCTGTTGTTTAATTTCCTTTGATTTAGTGTCTTCTCGGCTCCTGTTGTTGAATTTCCTTTGATTTGGTGTCTTCTCGGCTCTGTTGTTGAATTTCCTTTGATTTGGGGCCTTCTCGCCCCTGTTGTTGAGTTTCCTTTGATTTGGAGTCTTCTCGGCTCCTGTTGTTGACTTTCCTTTGATTTGGTGTCTTCTCGGCTCCTATTGTTGAATTTCCTTTGATTTGGTGTCCCGTCTCGGCTCCTGTTGTTGAATTTCCTTTGATTTGGTGTCTTCTCGGCCCTGTTGTTGAGTTTCCTTTGATTTGGTGTCTTCTCGGCTCCTGTTGTTGAATTTCCTTTGATTTGGTGTCTTCTCGGCTCCTTTTTTTGAATTTCCTTTGTTTTGGTGTGTCGTCTCGGCTCCTGTTGTTGAGTTTCCTTTGATTTAGTGTCTTCTCGGCTCCTTTTTTGAATTTTCTTTGATGTGGTGTCTTCTCGGCTCCTATTGTTGAATTTCATCGTTTTATGTCTCCTCGGCTCTTGTTGTATTTCCTCCATGTTGTTGTCTCCTCGGTCCTGTTGTATTTCTTTCGTGTTGGTGTCTTCTCGGTCCTGTTGTATTTCCTTTATGTTGGTGTCTCCTCGGTCCTGTTGTATTTCCTTCGTGATGGTGTCATCTCGGTCCTGTTGTATTTCCTTCATGTTGGTGTCTCCTCGGTCCTGTTGTATTTCTTCCATGTTGGTGTCTCCACGGTCCTGTTCTATTTCCTTCGATTTGGTGTCTCCTCGGTCCTGTTCTATTTCCTTTATGTTGGTTTCTCCTCGGTCCGGTTGTATTTCCTTTGTTTTGATGTCTCCTCGTTCCTTTTGAATTTCCTTCGTTTTGTGTCTCCCCGGCTCTTGTTGTATTTCCTCCATGTTTTCGTCTTCTCGGTCCTGTTCTATTTCCTTTGTTTTGGTGTCTCCTCGGTCCTATTGTATTTCCTTTGTTTTGTTGTCTCCTCGGTCCTATTGTATTTCCGTTGTTTTGGTGTCTTCTTGGTCGTGTTGTATTTCCTTTGTTTTGGTGTCTTCTTGGGCCTATTGTTGGATTGTCTTTTTTTTGGTGTCTCCTCAGTCCTGTTGTTGTATTTCCTTTGTTTTGGTGTCTCCTTGATCCTGTTGTATTTCCTTTGTTTTGGTGTCTCTTTGGTCCTGTTGTATTTCCTTTGTTTTGTTGTCTCCTCGGTCCTATTGTATTTCCTTTGTTTTGGTGCCTCCTCGGTCCTATTGTATTTCCTTTGTTTTGGTGTCACCTCGGTCCTATTGTATTTCCTTTGTTTTGGTGACTCCTCTGTCCGGTTGTATTTTCTTTGTTTTGGTGACTCCTCGGTCCTGTTGTATTTCCTTTGTTTTGGTGTCTCCGCGGTCCTGTTGTTGGATTGTCTTTGCTTTCGTGTCTCCTCGGTCCTGTTGTATTCCCATTTGCTTCAGTGCCTCCTCGGTCCTGTTGTTGTATTTCCTTTGTTTTGGTGTCTCCTTGGTCCTGCTGTATTCCCCTTTGTTTTGTTGTCTCCTCGGTCCTATTGTATTTCCGTTGTTTTGGTGTCTTCTTGGTCGTGTTGTATTTCCTTTGTTTTGGTGTCTTCTTGGTCCTATTGTTGGATTGTCTTTTTTTTGGTGTCTCCTCAGTCCTGTTGTTGTATTTCCTTTGTTTTGGTGTCTCCTTGATCCTGTTGTATTTCCTTTGTTTTGGTGTCTCCTTGGTCCTGCTGTATTCCCCTTTGTTTTGTTGTCTCCTCGGGCCTATTGTATTTCCTTTGTTTTGGTGTCTTCTTGGTCCTATTGTATTTCCTTTGTTTTGGTGTCTTCTTGGTCCTATTGTTGGATTGTCTTTTTTTTGGTGTCTCCTCGGTCCTGTTGTTGTATTTCCTTTGTTTTGGTGTCTCCTTGGTCCTGTTGTATTCCCCTTTGTTTTGTTGTCTCCTCGGTCCTATTGTATTTCCTTTGTTTTGGTGTCTTCTCGGTCCTGTTGTATTTCCTTTGTTTTGGTGTCTCCTCGCTCCTATTGTATTTCCTTTGTTTTGGTGTTTCCTCGGTCCTGTTGTATTTCCTTTTGTTTTGGTGTCTCCTCGCTCCTGTTGTATTTCCTTTGTTTTGGTGTCTCCTCAGTCCTGTTGTTGT